TTTGTCATCTCATCTTTGAAATCACCACCGCGAGTCTGGTCCCTGGCTCTGGTGTGCAGCCTGCTTTATCTGGGGAGTTCTGGCTCAGTGGGTGTGCGGCATGGTGTCCTTTTGATTATTTTTGTGTGTTTGCTTTTTAAATGTTTGAATGCAGAAGCTTTAGAATTACTTGGCTCATTGTGAAAATGGAATTGGCAGTAACATTGTTTAACAAATTTGGGAGACTTTCAAAGCTCTTCATATTGGTGTTGCAGATTTCAGTTATTCAAAGTGTAGCTGGGTAACGTTTCCACCTATCAGGCAGTGCACATACGTTAATTTTGGAAATAAGCTCATTTTAAGATATTGTTTTCAATGCAGCCAAGTTCCTGTTTTCTTACAGAAAAGCATGATGAAAGTCCCAAAGCATTCCATGAGATATAAATGGACTTGGCGTATAGTTATTTTCTTGTGATCTCCAATCCAAGTTCCTGTTAGATTTAAAAAGGGTTTTGATCACAGATAGTTGTGTGCTGTTTACCTGCATATCTCAAGAAGCCTCTTACTCGACAGTGATTTGGTTAAAATTCAGGTCTATCTTTATCCTGCATTTTACAGAACATATTTTTAGCAAATCAGTCTTTGAACTCAAAACGTTCAGCTGATGGCTCTTGCAATATAATGTTTGATGGCATCAGCTTGTGAAAACTGCAGTAGTTGGTGGAGATCCACTACTGGTATCTGTTTTAAGATCTGATTTTTTCCTCTGCTTGGAAAACTGTTGTACACAATTTGGTATTAGTTCACATCTAGTGGTGATGCCTTGACAAATGATGACTGTAAATAGGTCAGCTTTTTAAGGCGTGCCTGCAATTGCTCTGCCTTTGGGTTGGGCTGTACAAAAAATGGCCCTCGGTCCTGTGCAAAGCAGTGGGGAGATTTACCAGCCCATTGAATATACTGGGTGTGAATTTTCACGTTGCTGTTATGGGAGAAGGACCAAGAGGTAGACATGAATGTTGTATCAGAAGGTCAAATCTGTTACCAGCTGGCTCGATTAATTGTTTTTTGTGAATGTAAAAGTTAAAATACAATATTGTCCTTTTATGCTGTGGAACACTCAGTAGTTTAAATATCACATTCATTGTCTTAATTGTCAACAATGAATCTGTGGTACTTGCTAATTTTTCTTTTGGAAATATTAGAGTGAACACTGTTTTACGAGCCTTGGTGCTGTAAACAAAGTATTACTATTTGTTAACAGTCCAGAAAATTGGCCGTACTGTATTAGTGGGGCTTCTCAGTGGATGTGTTGGGTGCTGCTCTTTTCTGCCTTGCCTGTGAGCAGTGGCCGCAGCAGCACATTTATCGGTGCTTTCCCGGAGGAATGCTCTCCAGTTCGAGAGCCTGTTGTTAGGGTCACTATCCTGGTGGTTTATTCTTCTGCTTGGGTGTATTCGTCTGCGTTCGGGTGCTGAGACGGGAGCAGGACAAGGAGCAGCAGAAGAGACTGCTGTGGTGTGGGGCTCTGGTTTGTGCGTAAGGACGAGTAGGTGGCTAGGTTTTGCGGCGTTGATTGCAGTGGTTCACAGGTATTTGCAGGTGAACACATGTTTTCGTTGGTGCATTTTATTGCTTTTCTTGGCCAGTTGCTTCCTAAGTACCTGTCAGCAAATGCTTTCTTGTAGATTGTGTAGTCCTGCCTTGTCCACTTTCTCCCTCCTAGAAACCCTCACCCTGCTCCGTCTGTGCCCAGCCTTCAGGGCACAATTTGTGCCCATCCCAAGCACTGAAAATGGGAAAGAGGAGCTGGTCATAAAAGACAATGAAGAAAGGTTTCATATGATTTCCAACCTTGTTCTTTCCCATGTAGTAGGAATTATAGATATACACATATGTGTGTGTGAATATGTATATAGAATATTTCTGCCATATTCAGTGAAAGCTGTTGCTTAGCTTGCAAACAATTCTTCTTTCAAATTTACTAAAATGAATAAGCTATTTAAGGTTGAAATTTTAAAAATGACATGACTTCAAAATCCCATTTTCAAAAACGTCTCAGGCTCTTAGGAGCATAACTTCATGGCATTTACTGTTTCTATATGCTCCTGAAGGGTATGGGAGGTTGACTCCTGGATTTGAGTCCCTTTTTCTTTAAGCTTCATGTGACTCTGGTTTCTAAAACTCTGCACCATGCATCTAGATGGAACTGATACAAATGAGTGATCTGTTTTCAAGAATGTTAAGTTGTTAAAGCATAATCAATTGATTTTCATCTATTTTAGTAGTCATTTTAATCGAATTATATGTATTTATTTTAATCTTTGGAATTCATTAATGAAGACTTACAGCATTGCTTGTAGCCATGAAAAATTAGATTGAGTACACCCTGCCCTACTTAAACTGTGTATTAGCAAAGCTACTTTTTCCTCAAGAAATACTCTTTTTCACAGCTGACTAGGACTTTCCAAATGCTTAGGAAAAAACCCTCCCTAATTGATAACCAAAATTTAATCATAGTCGGATACTTCCAGTTTGCATTCAAATAAGGTATTTCTCTGTCTAAATAAGCTTCCCTTGGTTGATTATTCATATTGTAGTTCAAAATGTTTAAAAATGAAAGACAGAGTTGGATGAAATGTAGACTACTTAATACAGTGTGTATTTAATATAAAAGTCATACATTATTCATTTCTGCAATTTGAATAACTTTGAATTTAGCATCCCTGTTCTTCATCTTTTCCTTTGATGAACAATTAATTATTAAAATATAATATTGTCAGCATATGGCACAAAAATCCTTGAAAGTGTAAAATGAGCTTCGTTCTCCTGCCATCCTTTGATAAAAGGATACTCCATATTCTCGGTTTCTCACAGAGTATTTGTCCAGCATCTTAAGTGATTCCATCATTCTAAATAAAAGGTTATGAAAGTTAAAAATAGTTAAATTCTTAATTTTAACTGAAACATTTCTACTTAAATACAAGAGGAAAGCTCTTTAAAATGTGCCTCTGCCTCCCATCTATTTCGTATATAGTCAGTGGCAGTTAACGCAAAGAGGATGTTTGCATGTTCAAATACTCTTTCAGATTCGCAGCGGTCCACTGTATGCTCAGCTGCCATATAGAGAGAGACAGTTTCTTAAATAGAAAACCCGTGTCGTTTCGCTCTGAAGGTGTATGTTTGCTGCATTTTGAAATCAAATCCTGTGATGGAGTTTGCAGTTTTTCTAACCATTTCTTCCTGCATAAAAATAAGCCAATCAAATTAAATACGACCTTTTGCTGTAATTATTACTTCTTGATTAGAATCTTTTTGAACTTTGGCCAATCATATATATTTTACTATTTATTATCTAAGCACACTTTTTTTCCCAGAGGTATTCTATGAAAAGGAAAAAAAATGTGCTTTATTATTCATTTATTTCCTTTTTGGAGATGCAGAAGTGGTTGATATCTGCTTGGATTAGAAGGAAAGAAATTGTTAATGAAGAGATTGCAATGTATGCTTTGACTTTAATAGAATTACTCATATTTTGGAATGCCAAAGGCTATGAAAACTTTACACACCTGTTGATACTGTGCAGAAGAACAGAAGATGTCTGAAGTGCATCATGTATTTGCACCTGGCAGCAGCAGTGGAGGAAAAAAAATCCCCTTGATTATCAGACTGCTGCTCAGAGGTGTAGGCAACTCTTGATTTGATCAGGACTTCTAGAAAACTGTGGGATGCTGTGGAAATGATTTCTGCAGACTTCATCCTTTTTCTTTTCCTTCTGACTTTGGAAGATATGTGTGTCAATCACCAGCCTACCTGCTTCTCCGCTCTGCTGCGGGGGAAGCGGGCTTGCCGGGGAGCTCTGATGAGACAGAGAGAGAAGAGTTCCTGCTACCCAAATATGGACTCTTGTTTGAGGCACGAAGAATATAGAAAGTGAGGAACAGAGATGTATGGGAGAGCCTCGCGTGTCAGCATGCCCTGAGGCAGCGAACACCTTTGCACAGACTGAGAGGGAGCTTCGGCCTGTGAGTCAACATAAATTGCAGAGGATAAATGCTCAGGGATGGCAGGAAAATAGTCTTGCCTGCAGCTGTTCCCTCCTTTCATTTATTTATTTTTCTTCACAGTGTTAAATATTACCGGCTTGTCACTGTTACTAGAAGCTAAATGCTTTCAGTGCTTAGGTTTGCATTTCAGGCTGTCCAAGGAGCTTCTTGGAGGAAAGGGTTTGTTCCGAGACTGTTGGACCCTGGGGAGGAGTTTCTAGGATGAGGGCGCAGAGGCAGCGGTTTTACCTGTGAAGCATGATTCCGGTGCTGTGCCGACTGCACCCAGCAGCACCCCGGCAATGCCTGCATGGCCGGGTGCCGGCAGTCCCGAACAAGCAACGCATTGAGCTGGAGCTCGCCTTCAGAGGTGCCCTGCAGCCTTGCTCTTCAGCTTGTCCCCTCAGCAGCTCCCACAGAGGTTTGGCTGGGCAACGTGGCTCTGCATCCTCCATCCCAGCAGCCAGCAGAGGGTTGGAGCCCACTCCCGCACCCCTTTCCCCTGCTGCTGGGGATGGGACGGACACACAACCCGCTGCTCTCCGCCCAGGCGGCAGCAAGTGGGACCATGGGGGCCCGGCTGTGTCCTCACTGGGTCTTGGTGAGCCCTCGCTGCCATTGAGCTGAAGAGCCATTTACTGAGTGCTGAAACCATGGAATACGGTGTTATTTCTATGCTAACATAAACCAGTGGGCTAACAAGGGCATTTCACACCTGCACGCCTTCTGAATAGGAGCGTGCCTGTTCGGTGTAGGTTTGACTAGCATTTTGGCTGCTCTTTTAATGATCAACACATCAGCTCTTACAGAGCCTTCCTGATAGGGTGTTTTCATCTTTCATTTTATATATATATATATATATGATAAAATATGTTGTTGCCATTACACCTTGTTAGGCTGCCTATCAATGTGATGTCTGTTTTAAAGACACGTAAAAAAAAAAAGTGTAATTCTGCTTGTCAATCTTCCCCGCAGAGAAGGAGACCTTTCTGGATCCCTTTGTGCTGAGGGACCTGCTGCCGACATCGCTGGGGAGTTACTACCGCTACGCAGGTTCTCTGACTACTCCTCCGTGTAGCGAGATCGTGGAGTGGATCGTTTTTCGGAAGCCTGTTCCCATTTCTTACCATCAGGTGTGTTTATTTTGCTGGTGAAGTTCATCCCTTGATTTGCCCTCTTTAAGACAGCATTTCCAAAACCCGACATTTTAATTTTGAGACCAAAAATGTTTCTGTTGACAAAAAAGGAAGTGTTGGTGATTTTTCTTTTTTTCTTAAGTAATACTGTTTCTGAACATGAGCCATCAGTCTTAAGAAGACATTAACAACATGAAACCCAGTTTCCTTTCAGTGATTTATTTGGTATTGTTTTTGTTAAGATTAAATTAAGCTATGGTGTAAATATTTACATGGAATTCCTTTTTATTCTTTTTAATTGAAACTTTATTTTCAAAGTAAAGTGAGTGATTTCAGTTCTGCTCAGATTCAGTAATTTGAACCAATTACATTAGAAAAGACATCTTTCCATTAATTCTCCATGCTGAACTGTTTTTATAACACAGTAAAGCTGCCATTATGTGCTTAGAGAGCTGCTGCACAAATCTTTAAAATTAGCACATAGCAGCTTTTAATGCAAATAGATGCAATGTCTGGGGTTTGTCTGGAGAAGAATGCTCCCAATAAAGTAACGGCTAGATGGAGTCAGATGTTTACCAGTTAAGTGTATTTTGACATTGTGAGATTGTTGTCTTTAGAAAGCCATCCAGCTGAAGTCAGTCTTTCCTTTTATTCATCTGGCATAAGCCACTGAAAACAAACTTTTAAAATATACTAATTCTGTAAAGCATAAGTGAATAGTTCACTGGGTGATCATGACTGACAGATGCTGGTTCTCAAAGATCCAGGCTTTATTTCATGTTTTCTTGATCCCATTGCTTCTCCCATAGACTCTTTCATCTTTCTTTGAAGTGCCATCTTCAAAACCAGTCGCAGCGCCTCAGCTGGGGCCCTCCCGAGGCTGAGGGGCACGGCAGGATTCACGTGTCCAGCCACCCGTGCTGGTGTCGTTTTGCCGTTTTTCACCAAAGCGTGACATTGCCGCCCGTGCTCAGCTCCGGGGCAGCGGGAACCCTGTTGCTAGAGGCTCTCCCCAGCGCGCTCTGGCAGCGCGGAGCGCATCATGCGTTCGTGCAGCCCACGGTTCTGGCCGAAGCGTGGGACACTCTGCACATGGTCCCGCTTGAATCGGACCCTTTGTTTTTTTCAGGCTATTTCTCTGATTGTCGAGATCATTTTGAATTCTGTCCTTGCCTGCAGGATACTTGCAATCCCTTGTAGCTTTTCACTACATCAATAAGTTTACTGTTTATTATTTGGTGGCTGCGAGGCCTGGCCCACGCTCAGTTTTATGCCCTGTATACGCATCAGGTGGGTCATGACTTCTTTTTTCTTTTTCCCTTTTAACAAATGCAAATAAACTGCTAAATACCAATTATGGGCATCACCATAATGGTATAAAGGTACTTTATCCTGGCATAGCTTCTTTCCTCTGCTGTATGATAGTAACTGTGCCAAGTCAAGCCTTTAAAATTTGGCATTGTGCTGCTTTATGCATGCATGTGTGGTTGAAGGGCTGGGAATTCTGTGTGTAGACAGACTTTCATTGATACTACAACATGTGGAATAAATAATAGTGTTCTTCCCCTTGGCAGCTCTAGATGGGTGTATTTTAAGAGCCTGCCACCCTGCCATTGCTATGATTATTATTTGTTCCTCTAACAGAAACAGTGCAGCATAATCCATTGCCGTAGTTTAACCTTCTTTATCACAAACCCCGTGAAGCAGCCTGTAATCCCAGAGAAGGAAAGCGATATTGTTTAGGCTTTGTTGCTGTTCCAATTAAATCCTTGCTTTTGTGGAAAATACCTTGCTGTAAAAAGGACAGTACTGAAGTGGTCCATTTGTGGAGGCTTCTGTATATTTATTCTCAGTGCTCCATCATTGTCATCTTTCCCGATAATTAGACAACAAAACAGGACAAGCCGTGTCACCCTGCAGATGCAGTGTAAAGCTAAGTTCATTCAATGACCCAAAGCGTGGCATTATCTCTCGTAATGCATACCTCAGAGTATCTCATCGTGCTTACAATGGTTTCACTATTTTTAATTGCCATTTGTATATCCAACCCTTAGAAAATTGTGCACACCAGGCTTTAACGGTTTGTAATTACATGACTTGGAGTTTTAGATCAGGTTTCCCTGTATCTACAATAGTTTTACAACAGCTTTTCATTTCTGGTTCTGAACAGGAGCTCTTGTACTCCTTGAAGTGCATGAATATAGCTTCTTGACTGCAGCCTTTACTTTTTTTTCTTCTGGCAGCTATAGGTAAATTAATTTCTCATTTGTGGTAGATAATATTTTTATAGGAAAAAAGAAGTTGAAATGACTTATATATACTTTATATATAAAAAGGGGAAAATTAAAAATCATATTTGAATTAGCAATTGTTAAAGTGCAATTATACCTCCCCAAGGTAGCGTGGCAGAAGAAAATATTTTAAAACTTCTCTCTGAAAGTTTAAAATTTCAATTAGTGTCGTGGATGTATAAGCTTAGAGACTTGACTTCAGAGAAGCAGTTGCTACCCAAGTTCTGGAGTTTTTATGAAGTAACCTTAAGCCCTGTTAGCTGACATCAAAACTGCTTCCAGTGCATGAAGTGCAAAACATACGTAAATATTCATAAGAGTTTTGGTCTGTGCTTTCATAGAAGGGCATAGCAGGATCATCTGTTGTTTTTTTTTCTGAAGACAAAAGTGTAAGATAATAGTCCCTTTACCCCTTTTTTGGGTCATCCGTCAATGCTTCTGAGGGGCTCCTGCTAATAATTAGGAAACGATTTTCAAGACTTTTCAAGATGTTTTTCTGAAGAATCGGAGAGAGAATTGTGGTTGAGGACCAGGGAGTAGGGCAGTTGTCTAAGATGCAGAAAAAGTACAATCCAGATCCCACCACCAGTACCTGCACGTCTGGGAGCAGTGCCTGAGCTCCCTGCCTGCGATGGGAACTGGTTGCTGGCTGTCACCCTTCACTGATGGTCACCCACTGTCCTTCTGCCTCAGTTTCCCTGCCTGTACAGTAAAACTAATTGTGATTAGGGGGAAGCTGCTGCTAAAAATGTACAAGCCTGGGTTGTGCTGTTGTCTGAGAGGTGATTGCCTGCAGTGGCACTCAGTTCCCTTGGTTTTGTGTTTTAGTGCAGAGCTGCCAGACTCAGGATTCGAGCTGTGAGGTCCATGCTTTCTCCCTCCTGCTCTCCATGCCCTGCTCCCAGTGATAACGTTCCTATATGTATCTCCATTAGCCGGCTCAACGCACTACCTGCTCCAGGGGGACTTGGAATGAGATGTGTAAAAATTTACTCTCTCCTCCTGCCCTGGGGGTCAGAGAAGTTTCACAGATTTCAGACTAACAACTAGGATTGTCAAGCCCAGCAGACTGGGCGAGCTGGACAGCAGCAGCAAAAGAGGGTTCGGATTACTGGTTTGAAGGGAAATTAAATAACGGTAGCAAGTGCCTCTTGATTCAGCGGAGGATGCTTATCTGTTATGTTACACCTTCCTTTGATTATTTTTATCAATACTATCAATGGAGGCTACAATGATCATTTTTCCCAGTTGCAAGTTTCAGGACTCTCACACGCTTCTCCATAGCTTGTAGAGCAGATGCACTTAATGAAAAGGGTGTAGCTTTCAAAATGACCTGTCGTTAAGCTACGAGTGTAATTCAAGTCCCTTTTTAAATTCTTGGGCCAGATTCTGTACTCTCAAAATGCATACTATCGATGTATGTAATTGATGTTGATGTAAACAATATCAGGACTGAATCCTTCTCAGCCCTGTCTTGCTCAGTTTTTCCAACAGCAACATAACTAATTCCAGTTCTTGACCTGAATGATAACAAGCTATTAGTAAATGCCATACTGACCTTGATAGCTGTGAGAAAAACATTAGCTGAAAATATTTTCACCTTTGTTTGCTAGAAATTTCTTTCTAAGAAATAGTACAATATGAAGTAACAGTAAAGTTTTCTAATTACAGTTCTTTCTTACAGGTTAATGCATTTTATTAAAAACAGCTCAGTTTTGAATCCAACAAAAGAAACTTACTCCCAGAGGAGTATATGCTAACTGTGCCTAAATACATTTATTCTGTGTTATTTTTTTCTCACCCCGTAGTCAGGTGTCAGAGGGAACAGTGGTTGGTAGGGTGGTCAGGACACTTGGAGCTGGTGGTCCTGAGGTTGCTCCATTCTGCTACTGACCTGCTTCTGGGCAAGCCAGCTGGCGGGTTTGGGAGTCCGGCCTGTAAAGGTCTCACAACCGCAGAGACCTTTCTGCACAAGTGCTGCAAGAGCTGTCTGCAAAGCTTAGCCTGGCAGCTGAACTGTGTAAGGTATTCGGAGATAAGGTAGCATTGCCCTGTCCTGGAGAAGGCTCTTGGGGTGGAATAACCTGGAAGCACTCTTTGATGCGATACTGCGAAACCAAATGGTGCCAGCGGTGAGGAGGGTTTGGCATGGCTGTGCCACATATGAAATCCTTTCAATCAAGGGGTCTAAGGGCAAATGTTTCCTTGCTCAAGACAGATGTCCACAGGTTGCTAGAAGGCCTTCTCCTTCGTTGGGCAGGATAAGCACTGTGCCGAGATAAGAAGGTTGGCAGTGATTTCAGTGGGCAGCCTGACTTCCCGTGGGATTTATCGGTCTTGGCATCAACATTTTACTTCCTGCCATTTTACTTTCTTATCAGCCACCCGGATTTCACCACATTGTTTTTCTAATTAACGTCCTTTCTTGCCCCTGCCATGGTGGCTGCGATCAGCTGGAAGCATTCTACTCCATATTCACCACTGAACAGCAAGACCACGTCAAGTCTGTGGAGTACCTGAGGAATAACTTCCGACCACAGCAAAGGCTGAACAACAGGAAGGTGTCAAAGTCTGCCGTGAAGGATGCTTGGAGCCAAGATATGACAGACTTTTTGGAAAATCCGCTCGGCACAGAAGCATCTAAAGGTAGATTACACTTACAAATTTTGCACTTGACTAATAGGAGAATTTTTTACGTCTACTTTGTTATCAAATGGTGTTGAGGATAACTGTGAGCTACCGAAGAAATAATACAGTGTACGCAGGCATTCCTTGTTGATATGTGTCAACAGATGAACTAATCTCATGTGTGCCTGCCATTACCTGTGAAACTCTCTGTCGCAAGGTGCCGTGGCAATAAAGCCCCAGAATATGTGAGTCTCCAACTGGTGATGTCCCTGTTTCTGCTGACTGGCTGTAGGGCCTTAGAGATGCCTGACAAAAGGGGAATACGAAGGGATAAGGTCAGAGGTAAAATTTCAACCCCATTAGCACTGACTCATTGGGTGTTTGAATGGGAACAGAGTATCTAGATGTGGATATGGGTTTCATTTTTACAGTAACAAGGCTTTTGAAGAACTGCCAACCTTTTAATTCAACGTTTGTATTAATCTGTTGGTTATGGTAGCGGGGAAAAAAAACCCTCTTCCTTATAGGCAGGTGATTTTCTAATATCTTGCTGAAGTCTTTCATGTGCGATTTTGTAGAGCAGCTGGCGCTTGCTTCTGTCAGACACTGGATAATGAGCTAGCTGGAGAGGGGGGAGGGAGGTTGCAGTCGTTGCATTGGCACAGACAGCCCTGGCTAGAGGAGCACATCGAAAATTTTGAGAGAAATGTGTACGGGATAAAATAAGACTAGAAATAAATATCATTTACTACCTTTATTTGCCTTTATTTCATTGAATGATGTTATTTACAGGTAGGAGGAATGACATGTACTTCCCAGCCTTCAGTCTCGAGAACTGCTTGGTGCTTAACCAGGTCTGGGTAGAGGTAAAGAAGAGAGAGACAGTTTGCCAGAAGGAAACAGCTAAGCAGATTTACAAGCTTCCCTTTCGTACCTGGCATTTTCACCTGGCCAGGCACAGAGAGTGTAGTTTTTAGAGGATGTGAATCATAAAAACAGCTGCATTCAGCAACCTCGCCCTCCCAAGAGAGTGCTGGAAGAGTGTACTTCTTAGGGCTCATTATTCTGAGAGCGTGCTTATTTTTTATATGTATATAATATACACGTACACAAACCTCATGTACATTAAAGGCAGCCTTGGGACAGAGAATTTACATCAGAAGTGAGAAGGAGATCTTGGAAATGAAGACACCCTGCTACACTCTGATGCTCTGGCCTGCAGTTTTCAATCAGTGTTTTAACAGCAACATGTGTCAATATTTATTTCTACAGTTATATCCTGCATATGTATTACTGACCCAGAACAGTGATGAAAGTTAATAGGTTCCGTTAAAAGTGACAAAATTGACTAGTTTGTATTTTGAGTGCAGCCCCAGTACCTCTGGTGCATGTGGTATAATATTCAAGAAGATTTTACTGCTTTGGCCACATGCCGGCATATTCCTTACATCACTGGATGGTTTTTAAGGTTATAAAAAATCCTTAGGTGATTTTCACCCCCAAAGTAAATAGCTGAAACCCACAATTTTGACGGAGCATTACAAATGCTGAGGTCTGTAGTTAATGAGCTGATCTTGAAGCTGGAAGTGTTGATGCTGAAGGAGCACCTGAATAACTCAAAAGATTCTCATTGACTTTGTTATTTAAGAGCTCTAAGGCCCAGATTCAACCAAGCGCACATGGCTTAGTTAATGAACGTGAGCCAGTCTACAGGAGCAAGGGAGCTGCAGAACCGTTAGCCCACGTCTGGATAGCTTGGTGCCTGGGTGCTTGGTGCCTTACCTGCTTGGGAACTGGTTTCCTGAGCAGGTTCTCTCTGAGTCCTCTCCCATCATGTCCAGGTACCATGATGCTCAGTACTCGTAGCTGCCTGGGAATTTGAGCTTATGACATGCCCAAGAGAGACTCTCAGGCGGGGGGTACACATTGCCCGTGATCTGACAGCATTCAGCGTGCCAGCTAATGGCAGAGATAATGCTAGAGTTGGTGATTTTTTTTTTTTCCCTTGAGCTTTTTTCTGTGGGAGGCTAATGGCTGGGGGGGTAAGGGCTGGCCAGCCAGTCTTTTTGTACCGACTCTGTCAACTTGTCACTTTTTGGGTTGTGTGCACACCAGGGGACACTGAAGATAGGTGCATTTTTTTTATGAACTTAAAAATAAATTGGTTGTTGCAGTGTTGCTAACACAAAATGGATTGTAGCGTATCCTCCAAAGGTTACAGAGATGAGTTATAGCTGTTCCAGAGGTATAACAACGTGGATGTTTCTGGCCCCTTCTTTGACAAAGGTGAACAGTGATGATGTGCCTGGTCCACTGCACATTCTGAACTACTGACATATAAATAAAATGAGATGAAGTCATAATACTTGAGTGAAAGCAAAACCTATTGTTTATTCAGCTAGTAAATACAGTACCTCTTTATATAGTGTCATTCATGCAAAAGTACTGAGGAGCCGAGTGTACAAAGCACTTCTCGGCCAGACAGCGTAGCATACAAACAGAAGAGAGTAGGGTTAGCATAACATATTTATCTTATGCAGATTCTTCTGCACACCTCATAGCTGCACCTTGATGCTTTCCACATTGCATTCAGCAATGTGGCCAGTGCCGTGCTTAGATTTGTGTGTTGTAGAGACAGGCAAGGTCAGGAAAATGTGTCTTACTTGCTGCAAGGTGATATGGTTTGTGATGGTCTTCAGCTCTGGAGAGGAAGTTTGGATTTGTTTGTCGGTGTGAATTTTTGCAATTTGTTTCCTCTGTCACACTCTATTAAGTCTGTGGGCAGTATTGCTAATCTAGAAAACAGTGTAGCATCCATTGTGTAAGCCTTTCTTATTTTGGAGGAAAATGTGCCCAGAACAATTTGCATAATGTTCAGAATAATTTTCAGAATTCCCCGCTGAACAGGGAGTTTCAGATCAGCACAAAGCGATGCAGCTCTGCAGTTGTCCATTGACAAACGTGCTATCCTAAGCAGCTTGGCACCAAACAGGCGTGTCTGTTCTCCCAGCTATCAAAGCTATCTCAGGTCACAGCACCGTGATCAGTAGCATAACCTGCAGGTACACTGGAGGAAAACTATTTCTCACTTTATGCCAGTCCTCTGAGTATTTCCTCAGCAAAGCCCTGCAAGTGGTGGCATTTGGTAAATAAAATGTCTTCTGGGAAAGGCTATTTTAGGTCAACCAAAACTGTCAGTGCATTTGGATCCAGTTTGTTAGCCAACATGAATGTTACCAGCCTTTTGTTTTGCAGTTACTCTCCTCTCCCTCCTCTCTTTTAGTTTTAAAGAGGCAATGAAGGGAGGCGCGGTGTTTTCAATCATCAGAATGCAAGACAGTGAAAATATTTTGGCTAATCTGAAATAGTGCAGAGGGCTAATTTGTCACTTGGGAGTGAAAACTCCAGTTTTCCTTTTGTGTTAGTGTTTAATAAGAGGAGTTTTCTTTGGTTCCATTATCTCATTCCTTCCTCCTGTTGGCAAAAGCTGATTTAAAACAGTTCTCTTGAGGACTGTTTGTATGCCTGGAATAAAAGCACACGTGTAAGACCTTTGCTGAATGAGAGTCCAAGAGCTGAGCTTAATTCTTAAGCTGACCCTGGAGCTGTTTCAAGAGACTATACAGATCATCTTTAAACAACTTATTTCTGAAGTATACCATTCGGCATAAATACTGTTCAGCTATGTAATTGTAGCAACTGGTGGATTGATAATAAACCATCATACAACAATATTTTTTAAGAAAATGAAACTTTCAGAGAGTCAAGGTATCAGTGGATCATGGTGTTAAATCGTGCAGATCATCAGGCTTGTAAAATTTAACAAGAGGGCTCACCAGTGTGACAGTACTGGTTTGTATAAAGTTTTGAAAAGTTGGAGGTTCTCTGTACAGACACGTTAAACCGGGAATGTATTTGTAAAATATTCATCAGATACTGTAAGTATCAATGACAGTGGCAGTGTTTGATTTTTTTGTACATGACCATCTCTGTTAAAATTGCCTCCTTTCTTCTCTGGCCTGTCCTCTGTGGCTCAGGGCTGTGTTGCTCTGTCACATCACATATTGTGCTCCTGCCTTTTTGTGGGCTGCTTTCAAGCAGCTGTGCTAGAGGGATTGCTAATTGTTTACCAGTTTAATAGTCTACATTGCTCTTCAGGAACAAATAGACAGAATTCGTACATAAAAGTCCATCCAGTTCAAAGACCTGACTGCATGTTCCTTAATACTTTCACACGTTGTCCCATCAAGCAGAGATGTATTTACAAAACATTACCTGCTTCAGTAAAGGTGTAGGCATGGAAGCTGAGGAGGAAAAGGTGTTTCATTTCCTTGTTTCAGCATGTACCCCATGTGCAAAAATATTAGCCCATTTTATTTTGCTGCTGATTATGTTGTTTCTTTCTCTTCATGTTTTTTAACGCTGAAAAAACCCGCCTTTAACCTTTCTGTCTCATTAAACGTGCTGCAAGCCTCACAACACTTAAACAAGCATCCCATGTGAGGGGCTCTTGACATCAGAGTTTTCTTTCACAGATGCCTGATTACTTCCCCAAAGGTGTCTGATTACTCTTTGCTGGAGTCTCAAATGATGCTGTTTCCCATCAGTGGGAATTCGCCTTAGAGTACCATCTTTAATTATGATCCTAGACTAAGTTAAATAATGAGCAGTCATAAATTCACTCTAGTAAAACTTACTTAGCTTTGTAGTCTGAATTAACAGCTGGGACATTTCTCTAGTAGTGTACAGGCGATCATTTTCCTTACTGTTCTTTGTTAAGCAGTAGTGATACACAGTCTGGAAGTCATTGTAACTTAAAGCAACTAACACGTTGGTAGAAGATTCTTGGATTTTCCCTCCTGCATGCTTTGCACTGGAGGCATGGCTCCAGCTATCAACCTGCTGATAGGTACAGCACTGCTCAAGCAAAGCAGTTTAATTCCTACTCGTTATTTCACAGCTCCTGACCTCAGAAATGGAACCAAGGCCTCCTACGAAGGTATTGCCTTTTCTGCATG